GCTTGCGTCCACCACTACCTAACTGCTGCATTGCTGGTGGGCAACAACAGACCATTCAATGGTTTGAGGAATGTGGAGGGAGAGGACCGGGGACAACAGATGACGACTTGAGGAATGGGAAGGGTGGTGGACATGGAAGAGCACGATGGCCAAAACGATTAGGAAAAACAAGTATGGGGCAGCTGGTGGCTAGGATGAAGTGGGAGTAGGGTTTTTCGATCGATCTCTTGTGGAATCCGGTGAGCTTTCTAGCACCTGGTTTTAAGGACAAAATCAGATACACACTATATGGTCTCGTTCGCATGTCCTTAAATCCGGCTTGATCCGCTTATTTTTTCATCCGGAACAGTGTTTTTCTCTCACAAATTCCTCCAGTATTCCTCCAAACCATCCAGATTCCTCCAAAATTCAGACAAGCGAGCAGGCCCTATGTGTCCCCAGGAATTCAAATCACACGTATAGTTATAAATGAAGGGGTAATATCAAAGACAATGCCTTTATTACATAGCGTATAAATGTTAGTTACAAAAGACATAGTCTTACTTTACAGTATATACTTGAACTCTACTCTTCTGGCGAAGCCTCCAACACCACACGAATCGTCAACTGGTTGATCACAAGCCTAACACCTCTTGGAAAAACTCCACTGAAGAACCTCCATCTGGTACCCATTCAGGATTTTGCCAAAGTATTGAAATAAAACAAGCGTAAGCTACTACCGCTTAGCAAGCATAACATGAGGGGATGCGGGCTCAAAAGGCTTGACACAACTGAACTGCGGTAAGCACTTTTAGTTGGTCATATTTTATTATTAATCATAAGTTGCTAATTTATGCTTAGGCTTCCAAATATAAATAATTAAAGATATCAACAATTTTAATCATAACCTAAACCATCCAAGTAACCAACTATTCAGTAAGGATTCAGGCCGCTCGTGTCCGTGAGCACGGCTGATATACCAGTTTTACACTCTACAGAGATTGTACACTTTCACCATGAGTCGTGTTGCCCTTATGTTAGGATTAATTACTCCCAAAACACTTCCAATGTGAGCAGGCAGGGTACACTACGAAGCTTTTCCCCTGTCGTTCTAATAGGGAGCAGCCGCTAAGGATTCCATCTCCCAAGTGTTATGGACTCATCTCCAAAGATGGCACTAATACTCGCAGCATAGTACACACCCTGGGGATGAGATCCATACCCAGCCTGGTATGCCCCTCTTGTTCTTTTGGTAAACTGCTACAAACTAGAAAGAGTAAGGTACTGGACTAAGACCAGAGCCATGTGGTCCTCATGGTTGTACTATAAATCCTGGGTTGCCACTTGAAGATGAGTCCTTATGAAGAGAAACTAGAGCACCATAAGAAAAGGCCCAATGCTCTAGCCCCCTTATTCCATGTTGCTAAAAAACATCTTTTAATACCATATTGTATATATCTTAAATTATATTCTTTAGTCAATATTAGTTGGAGCAAACTGAGCATACTACTCACATGCAAAACCCATAGGTAAATCAAGGACAGGATAATCAATATGAAGGTAAATAGACTCCAAAAGGTTCATTAACATATGCATATGAATTGAGATTATATTAAAGTGAATAGGTAACAAGGAGCCTCATATTATACTTGCCTTAATTCAATGTATCGTTGCTGATCTTGATCTTCAAAAAGTTGCTCCAGATCACCAACACAAAACTCACTGTCTACTCGAGATCAAACAGCACCACACATGCATCCATACATACATGCATAGCAATCAAACATAAGCTAATTAGAATAATACACCAAACAGTAGAAATAGAAATTAAAAAGGTTTTAAAACTGTTCTACGCGATGCTACGAACACGCAGACGCGAGAATCACTCAAATCGGAGTTAAAACAGATAAGTTATGAATTAAATAAGATTTTTTTAGTAAAATAATAGATTAAATCTAACCTCGAATTTTAAAAGTTAAAAACATACTTAACAGTAGTATGAACATGTAGATTATGGAATTACGAACCTAACGCAAGTTGAATGGATCAAATCGGAGCTAAAACGTGAAAGTTATGGCCTATAGAAACTAGTGACAAAACTGTAAATAGATGAAACCTAATTTTCGAATTTAAATAATTAAAATCAAATTTTAAACCGGCATAAGGATTGTGGACACAATTTGTAGAAAAGTCAGGGGTCCTTTTGAAAGAAACCAGGGACGACGGGTTAAGATCTAATTAATTGTAAGGGCCTTTTTGCAAAATTCGCAGCGAAGGGGTATCTTCTAATTTTGGCTGCTGGATCGGAATCAGATGGCCAGGATTGATTCGGGAGGGGAAGGTGGCCGGCGGCGAGCTGTCTATGGCCGCGCCATGGCCAGAGCGGGCGACGTTAGCGGTTCTCGGCCTACAGTCCACGACTGAGCGAATCAGAGGCACGGGCTGAGAGAGGAGATCAAGGCGAGCTCGGCTAGATACCTTACCAAGGCGCAGAGCAGACGGAGGCGGCGTGGCGCACGGCGAGGCGGACGGCTCATCGGTGGCTAGGGTTATGTGGCGGCTGTTGCTCAAATGACGATGGCGGTTAGCAAAGAGGGTTGGGAACGGGGAGGCGCACCCGGGGCTGCTATTTATGGACGGAGCAGTGTGGGCAGCACGCCAAGACACGGCGTAGATGGCATGGACTCGGAGCGGTGACGACGGCGGTTGTGTCTGGCTCGGACACGAGCGCGAGGTGGAAGACGGTGACCCTGACAGGGCGGCCCCACCTGTCGGTGAGAGGAAGGAGAGGAGAGGCGCGGGCGGCTGCGCTGGGCCAGCCTGCTTGCTGGGCCGCGGGCGCGTGAGGGAGGCCGAGCTGGCGAAGCAAGGAAACAGAGTGGCTAGGCCAGCGCGGAGAAGTGAGGAAGCTGGGCCGGCACCTGGCCAATGGTCCGAAAGCATGGGAGGGAAAGAAAATCCATTTCCATTTTTCTAAACCATTTTCCAAACCAATTTTGAAATGCAAATTCAAATCAATTTGAAATATGATTTCAAACCATACAATACAAAAATTAATATGCAGCGGCATGTATGCATATATATGTATGTAGACCTATATTTGATTTTAATTAGAACAAAATTATTATTTTTCTAAATTCAAATGCTCACAAAAATGTATAATTATATCATTTTCTCCTATTTAAAATTATGCAAATTTTAAGGTGTTACATTTCTAAGGTGGGATGATTTTTTGTTGGGCCTTGTATGATGGTCACCTGTTTGGTGTTATGGAGCTAAAACAAAAATGGGTGACATATAGGTCCACCTGGCCTAAATATGAGATCCCATAAATAAAGTCGGATGAAGGCTCTCTGTTTCCATCCCATTCCCGCAGACCCCCAACCCGCGTCCCCTTTCGTTTTTGGATTTTCCAAAAATAAAAAACAGGGAGGGTAAGATATGGAAAAGGGGTGAATCGGGATGGGATTGACCCATCCTGTATTCAACCCTAGTCTTATCATGTCATCAAGGTTTATTTTTATTTTTCAAATTTTATTCTATTAGTAGCTATAAATTTTATCTTCTAGTTGAATTGAATCCCTCGTGCTTGTCATATATTAATTTACTCTACTTTTATATTTAAGGTAGGGACTTTTAAAGTGTATCATTTAGAAATATGTATAGCATATTTTATGTTCAATGTTATTTTCCATAAAAGATTGTATTGATATTTGTTTGTTGATTGAGGGGTATTTTAGTTTATTTAGATATAATTCAAAGAGTTACTTTCTATTATCTTTCATAATGTCAAAAGGGCAATATAGATGCAAATCTATGAGTTGTTTTAAGTTATAACTTTATAATGGTAGGGATGGGTGATTTTTTATAAATATGGCTACTATTAGCTGGTCATTAGAGTACCAAATTTAAGACTGCAACTTCTAGGCGATGTCATCAGTAAACTTCTTTGCTGTGAGATTTCTACTTCTTGTTTGAATCTTTTTTAGATGTACCATATTTTCCAAGTATTTATCAATTGGTTACATAACAATTTGCTACTCTCTGCTCTTTTTTATAAGACGCACACGCATAACAAGATTAAAATTTTAAAATCTTTGACTAATAATTTAGCTAAATTTTTTAATATATTATAATAAAAAACTTAATATGGTTAGATTTGTAGTTCAATGTATTATTTAACTATCATATATTTATAAGTAGAAACAATATAATATAAAATAAATAAATAAGTGGTCATAGTGTAATTTAGCTGAACGTATCTTGTCAAACTGCATCTTATCACACTATAAAAGAGCGAATCTTTTCGTTATCTCTCAAGTATTAGCCGTTGGATCCGTCCTTCGTCGCATCCGGGCCTTCCATCCAACAGGTAAGATGTAAGATTGTGTCCGAATCATCTTCCGTGGTTGAGTCTCCAACCTGTCTAAGTTCCTTTTCCTATCTTGTGCACCTTCATAATACGATCCGTCCGTGTCCTAGCCGTTGTGTCCGTGTCCGAATCATCTTCCGTGGTTGAGTCTCCAACCTGTCTACGTTCCTTTTCCTATCTTGTGCACCTTCATAATACGATCCGTCCGTGTCCTAGCCGTTGTGTCCGAGTCATCTTCCGTGGTTGAGACTCCAACCTATCTACGTTTATGTTCTTTTTCTCTTTCCTTTTTCTATCTTGTGCACCTTCGTAACCCATTTTCTAAACATCGTCCGTGGTCAAGTCTCCAACATGTCTTATGTTTTTTCTCTTTCCTTTTCCTATCTTGTGCACCTTCGTAATACGATCCTGACTAATACGACCCTGTTACACTATATTTTTTCTATTTGGCTAAGGGAAAAGAGGGAGTAATATATAATAAGCACACACACACTCAACATTTCTGCAGTACTATAATTCTAGGCAAAATTAACTAAACACACCAATATATTGTAGTTGTACATATACACCTCCAAATCGCAAAAGAATTCCATATGATTTACAAGCAGCGCCCTAGACATGTCAGAAATCTTGGCAGCTATGCCATGCCCTATACTACATCTCCTAGCTCATGTTTCAACTCTATCCAACCGAACCCTTGTCCCTCCCCGTCGCCGTCTCCGTCGACCACCTCAAGCCGCAGCTCGACGAGCATCAGTGGTGGCGCCACCTCTGACATCTCAACCGTCATCGCCGCCAGCCCTGGAAGGGCCCCCAGCGGCAGGCAGTCCACTCCTTTCTTACCTACCACAACATACCCGAGCTTCCCGCCAGCACGGCCGAGCTCCTCAAGTGTACGCTCCGGCGACGCCGTCGTCATGAACCTTTTCTCTCGGTTCCGCTGGTCGAACAAACTGGACAGATCGAGCCCGGACGACATGGAGATGATGTCGAAGGCGTTCATGGCCGGCGCCTGGAACGCTAGCGCGCGCTCCTGCTGGCCGTTTAGCAGCCCACCGAGCTGCGAGTCGACACTGAGCGAGCGCTTGAACCACGGGTGCGTCGTCAGCGTCTCGACGGCGACGCGGGTGGCCGGGTTTGGATCGAGCAGGCGGTTCACCAGCCGGCGCGCGGCTGCGACACCCACTCCGGGAACTCGAACTCCCGGCGATGCGCCTTCCGGCACATGTCGGCGATGTTGGAGTCGTCGTCGAAGGGGAGGTGTCCGGCGAGGAGGACGAAGAGGATGACGCCGCAGGACCACGCGTCGGCCTTGGCCCCGTCGTAGGCCTTGCGGCGGAGCACCTCGGGCGCCGCGTAGGCCGGTGTGCCGCAGGCCGTGTGGAGGCGGACGTCCTCCGGGAGCGCGGAGAGGCCGAAGTCGGAGACCTTGAGGTTGCCGTCGCCATCGAGGAGGATGTTCTGCGGCTTGATGTCGCGGTGCGCGACGCCGCGCGCGTGGTAGTAGGAGAGCACGGCAACGAGCTGCACGAAGATGCGGCGCGCGGTGTGCTCCGGGAGGCGGCGCCGCGGGAGCGCGGCGAGCCTAGACAGCAGGTCCCCGCCCGGCGCGAGCTCCATAACGAGGTAGATCCTGGCGCGCGTGGCGAGCACCTCGTGGAGGCGGAGCACGTTGGGGTGGTGCAGCCGGCGCATGGCCGTCACCTCGCGGAGCACGCGCGGAGCCATGCCCACCGTGCCCATGACCTGGGCCTTGTCGAGCACCTTTACAGCAACAGCCTCGCCGCCGGCCACGGGGCGCGCGAGGTAGACCTTGGCGAACGTGCCTCATCCCAGCAAGCTACCCAGCTCGTACTTGCCGAGCAGGCTCTTGCTCTTCTTACTCCCATTACTCTTGCTGTCCATGGCCCCCATGGGCGACAGCAACAGCGAGGCAAGAGCACCACAAGGTTGGCGCTAGTCTTAGTGTTATGGCAATGAGTTCGGCGACGACACTAGGTGAAAATAATGTTGGGTTGGTGTCTTTTTATATGGGTGAGTTGGGTATGCAATTTGCCATTTTTGTTTGTAAATTCAAGATTAGCACTTCCAATTGGGTTGGCACATAAATAATGTACTTATAAGAGAGGGTTAAATATCCTAGGCAATTGAGTTGAGCTGAATGAGTTGAGCAATAATATAATAAACCCAAAACCGCACATTTTGACATATACCTCATATTTTAGTTTGCCTAGCCCTTGGAATACGAGTAAGAATATTGTGCCATCTTTTTATTTGAATTGCTCTAGCCAATAATCAAGGTCGAGCCAACTGAGCTTTGATAGCATTGTGAGTTGTATCTTGTATGTGCCAAACAATTAGCTCAAAAGTATAAGTTATTAAGGAAATGTGGGTGATAGATTAATATATATACTTCAACAATTATGTGTGGAGTATATTACATTTCATCTGGAAAGTATTGGAAAAGCTCTCTAGCTAGGTCATGTGATCAAGCAAATTAAACACATGTTCTTGTTTCAACAGTATGGTGTTCATGAATTCAAGTGGCCCATGGTTGTAGCACGAGTCAACAAATTCCATCTTTGGCTGATTTATTAACATTCTAAGGGGTAACTAACAAAGTACAGACACACACTTTCTCACACATACTCACCCCTATAAACACTACCGGAAACAATATAATTGCCGAGTGCCTGAGGGTTTGTCGAGTGCATTCCATCGGGCACTCGGCAAATATCCTATTTACCGAGTGTTTTTAATTCAACACTCGGCAAACTACACCGAAACACTCGGCAAACACGGATACTCGGCAAAGTACAGGCATGTGCGCTGGGCGTGCGGTGGCCGTGTGACGGCCGTTGGGTGCGCCACCCTGCCGTTAGAACTTTGCCGAGTGTCTCTAATGGACATTCGGCAAAGACAAGGTTTGCCGAGTGTTTTTTATTGACACTCGACAAAATAATGTTGTTGCCGAGTGTTTTTTATTAGCACTCGGCAAAATAATAATTTTTTTCCTCTCCTGCACTCCAAACTTTTTCTACTCTCCACATACAACATGTGGTACTATATGTTAAAATTTGGTATATTTCTCGATCTGTTTGCTATATTTAATTAATTTATTGCATTTAGAGGAATTTTTTAGTTAAAGTCAAATTTGAACTGCAAGTGATTCAAATAATGGAATAAATTGAGTGGAGAAATCATATTCATGTTATTGAGTCCATTTTGGGGCCATACCCGGGAAATGAAAAGAAATTTCGAACATTTTGTTCAAGAAACACGACCACGAACGTGTGGCCGAATGATTTTTAAATTTAAAAAAAGCAAACGAAGTCTGAAAATGATGAGATTTGTCAAGATCTCCTGATATCATACGTGGAGACTAGAAAAAAATTAAGAAGGTTTCGCACAATTTGTCACATACGACGCTTACAAACCGAAGCATCTCCAAAGAAGAATCAAGGAGTTGAGAAGGATCCGGTAAGATTTGGAGTCAAAGTGACGGTCGAATTGGGGTTTCACTTTAAAACTTTTTGTATAGGCAATAGACAACATAGATTGGTCCATGTCAAATTTTCGAAAATTTTCGGATCCGTTTGATAATTTTAATTTATTAACTGCAATTATAAAATTTTAATTGATATAAATTAGATTTGAGATGTAACTGTATGGAATAATGGAATAATATTCGTAGAAAAATCAAATATACATTGTTAAGTGAATTTGACAAGGTACTTTCAAAGTCCACCATAACAAATTTAGCAGAACACGCTAGGAAGAAGGAGGACGGTGCAACATGAAATAATTTTTTTGCCGAGTGTTCTCTACCTGACACTTGGCAAAAAGAATAGTTGCCGAGTGTCGTACAGGGGACACTACACTCGACAACTTTATTGATCTGGCCCCACTGCGCATTACCGGACGGTTTGAAAATAAAAAAAACAATGCCGAGTGCCCCGATCTGGGCACTCGACAAGTCCACATCGGGGGCACTTGGCATACCTTTCATATGTTACCACCGGCCGCACCCCCCTGACGCACAAACGCGCCGCCCACACCCACGCACTCACACACGCTGCCGCCGCCGCCCCCGCCCTGTGCCCCGGCCACCGCCCTGAACCCCCGCCGGCCCGGATCCCCGCCGGCCTCCCCGGGACCCCACCGCCGCCCTCCCCCCAGCAGAGCTCCGCGACGCCATTGCCGAGCTCCGTTCGCCGTCATCGTTCTCCACGGTTTGTCCATCTCTTGCTCAATATTCGTCTCTACTGGATTCTCCTCGTCCCGGAGATTCACACCCTGCCTTTATTTCCAAAAGATCACGGCGTGTTAGGAGAAATCGCGAGCCCGCCGGAACACTTCATCGTCACCGTCCGCCTCATCTCGGCTGCCTCCCCCTCCGCTCTGAACCAAGCACCGAGGAGAGCCTGCCTGAGTTCGGTGAGCTTCGCTCTGTTTTGCGCCTCCTGTCTCCGTTCGTCGTAGTCCCTAGCTCGATCCCAAGCTGCGCCGTAGATGGCCATGGTGCTGCCGTGCACCTCTGCTCCGGCGACCAAAGAACATAGAAGCAGTCCAGCGCCGTGCGTGCTTTCTTTTCTCTTGTTAGCTTGTTGATCTGATCATGACGGAAATGTGCAAACTTTATCTGGCAGAACATTAGGTTCCCTGAATCTGAATGACTACATTTGTAATCTGTTTATTCAGAGTTTCAGACTCTTCTCAGTGAATAGTTGTCTGAAACTTGCATGTTGTTGTATGCATTCACGAATAGTGCAAGAAGCAATGATGGAAATGTGCAAATGTGACATTAAACATTGTTCCTATGCTAGTATAGGAATCATGTTCTACAGCATGAGACATGTATTAAACATTGCGTCTATGCTAATTTAGGCATCAATTTGTTAAGCGTGATAGAAACAGTGAGGAAAGCAAAGAAGATAGCATCACTTTAACAAGCACTCCTTTTAAAAGTAGTAAATAAAAAAAACAACTTTAACTAGCAGTCTATGAGTAGCATGATTTTTTATTTTTGAAAAAATCACTAGCACGACCTAGGAATGGAACCACCAGACACATCAGTAGCTTAGTGTTCTATACGTACTCCTGTAGTCATGTCAGAGTATATGGGTATGGGATTTGGGAGCGATGCTAAAAAATGGGAAGACCGTTTTTTTATAGAAACAAAATTGTTTCAAAATCCAGAGAACAATTAAGCAAAAAAAAATTAACCCACAGCCGCAAGACCGCAAGCCTGCAACTACCACTGAAAGCAAAAAATTGCAGTGCAACAATGGATGCCTGTGTGTCTGTGATTTGATGGATCTGTAAAAGCTCAAATGGAAATAATGTTTGCATCATCCCATGCTGGCTAGGAGATAAGGCACAAGAACCATGCTAGCTAGCTCTTGCAATCTCCATATGTCAAAATTGTTAAAACTAGACACACACATGCAAGCATCATCACTTCAGCAAACAGTGATGTTGTACTATTAACTTGAGCATATTTCCATGCCAATGATTACCATTCTTTTAATGATCTCGCTATACACTTACTGACCCGATGCATTTGGCTCTCTATTATCTTCAACTTGCAGGATTTTGCCACCGCTCCCTGCCCTGCCCTGCCACCTGGTTCCGCCTTGCCCTCCCGCCGCCCCACAACTTGCCGTCGTTTTGCAAGGTATAAGATGTGTATGTGGTTGTCGTCCATCGTGCCATTTGTTGCTGAGTGTATGTGGTTGTCGGCCATCGTGCCATTTTATTTGTTGCAGGTTTTGGAAACCTCCCCGTGCAGGGGAGGTGCTGCCGAAATTTAGATTTGACACTACTATGTTCCTTTTATTGCAGGAGAGGCTATTACAACGTCCTCGACTCGTCACTTTGTAGGACAGCAAGGTGAGGCATAAAAGACCCTTCTTTTCGTATCATGTTCGTATATCACGTAACCTAGCTAGGCGTCTCCCGTTCGAAAGAGATACGGTTGGAAATATGCAGACCTTTGCATATCTATAACCGTATCTGTTTCAAATTGTCCACGTTTTTTAGACAGCCCAAGGAAGTGTAGATACGGTAAGTTTTCATGCTCTACTCCGATCCGTGATAGAGTTTCGGCAGCATCTTCCTGTTGTTCTCCAGATACACAATCTCTCTTCCAGGACGTGTATTTGAAGAACAGCGGGGAGGTGCTACCGAAATTCTGTCTCGGATAGGAGTAGAGCATGGAAACTAACCCCATCTACACATCCTCGGGTGGGATTAGGACCTATCTTCACCTATTAGATAGTATAGGAACGTGTAGATGCAACTTGATTTTTTATATTACTCGCTGATATGCTAGAGGATGGATGACCGTGAGTGGATGTACACGGGCTGCTCTAGTCAGACTTCGTTGATCGATGAATGGATTGACAAGACCGATGCTTTCTTGGAACGGGCATTTGCAAGGGTTAAAGGAGCTAGTGTCACTTGGTGTCCCTGCAGCAAATGTGCAAACATGCGTCGGCAAACTAAGGTGGTCATGGGTAAACATCTTTGTAAGAATGGATTTACGACAGACTATACCAAGTGGATCTACTATGGTGAAGCCGATCGTGGGAGAGACGAGGTCATGAGACAACACATCGAGGAATATGATGATGATGCTGGGGTAGGAGACATGTTAAATGAGTATCATGAAGCACACTTCGATGAAGGACGTAGGGAGGAGGAGCCAGAGGCTACCGCAAAGGCGT